AAAAAAAAAAAAAGCCAAGACAGGGCAAAAGCTAGGTTTTCTTGAAGGAAATTGAAAGTGCTTGTCCATTGAACACACAAATAACATAAAATACAGAACAAGGCCCCAACTCTCTCCAATTCTATGCAGGCTGAGAGAGATGAGGCAGCTGTAAAAAAAAAAAAAAAAAAGTTGGAGGCCAGCAGAGGTTGATCAAGGAGCCAACTTCCAATTCCATGAAAGTACAAGGTGAAGCAGCAAGTGCTGATATGGGAGCTGCAGCAAATTACCCAGAAGCTCTAGCTAAGACAATGAAGAAGGCTACACTAAATAATAGACTTTCAATGGTGAAGAAACAGCCTTGCATTGAAAGGTGCCATCTAGGGCTTACCTAGCTAGAGTACAGAAGTCAATGCCTGACTTCATAGCTTCAAAATATACACTGGGACACTTGGGTGGCTCGGTCAGTGGAGCATCCGACTCTTGATTTCAGCTCAGGTCATGATCTAGCCATTGTGAGATTGAGCCCCATGTTGGGCTCCATGCTGGGCATGGAGCCTGCTTGGGATTCTCTCTTTCCCTCCCTCTCTCTGCCCCTCCCCAGCTTGCACTCTCTCTCTCAAAATAAATGTTTAAAAATATATATAAGCTGACTCTCTTGTTAGAGGCTAATGCAGCTGGTGACCTTAAGTAACTAGAAGTTACAGAATTAAAGAATACAATAATTGAACTAAAAATACACTAGAGGGGTTCAATAACAGAATGGATGAAGCAGAATTGATGAGTGAGCTGAAATATAATGGACTTCATCCCATCATAACAAAATTATAAAAATGTAGTCTATCTCCATAGAATGTACTATTATGAACCTCATGGTTACCACAAACCAAAAACCTGTAACAGATATGCTTGGATTCCTTTCTTTATATTTTTTGTGTAACACTAAAGAAAGTCATCAAGTCACAAGGGAAGTGAGCAAGAGAAAAAGAAAGGAATAGAGAAGAACCACCAGAAAACAACAAGACGGCAATAAGGACATACCTACCAATAATTACTTTAAATGTAAATGGACTAAAAGCTCCAATCAAAAGACATAGGGTGAATGACTGGATTATAAAAAAGACCTGTCTACCAGAGACTTCAGATGTAAGCACAAACACAGATCAAAGTGAAGGGATGGGTAAAGAGATTCCTTGACACATTAGACCAGATGGACTTAACAGATATATACAGAACATTCCATCCCAAACAACAAAATGCACATTCTTCTCAAGCACACATGGAACATTCTCCAAGATCACATATTAGACCACAAAACAAGTCTTCTATTTTTTTTTTTTTTGTTTATTAATTCTTGAGAGAGAGAGAAAGCACAAGCAGGGGAGGGAGAGAGAGAGGGGAGACACAGAATCTGAAGCAGGCTCCGAGTTGTCAGCACAGAACCCAACGCAGGGCTTGAACTCACAAACAGCAAGATCATGACCTGAGCCAAAGTCGGACACTCAACCGACTGAGCCACCCAGGCGCCCCCACAAAACAAGTGTTAAGACAAATCACATCAAGCATCTTTTCCAACCACAATGGTAAGAAACTAGAAATAAAGTGAGTAAATCACAAATATGTAGAGATTAAACAACATGCTCCTGAACAACCAATGGGTCAAAGAAGAAATCAAAAGAAATGTAAAAATACGTCTAGACAAATGAAAATGGAAGCACAACATACCAAAAGTTATGGGATGTAGCAAAAACAGTTCTAAGAGGGAAGTTCCTGATAAATGTGTATAATAAGAAACAAGAAATCTACAGAACCTACCTTATACCTCAAGGAATGAAGAAGAAAAAGCCCAAAGTTAGTAGACAGAAGGAAGTAACAAAGATCAAATGAACCAAAAAATAAATAAAAGAGGCACTAAAGACAACTGAAAAGATCAATGAAACCTGGAGGTGGTTTTCTGAAAGGATAAAGAAAAGTTACAACTGATACCACAAAAATGCTAAAGATCATAAGAGAATACTAGGAATAATTATACATCAACAGATTGGACAACCTAGAAGAAATGGATAATTTCCTAGAAATATACAACCTACTAATACTGAATCATGAAAGAAAGAGAAAGTCTGAACAGACCAGTTACTAGTTAGGAGACTGGATCAGTAATCAAAAACCTCTCAGCAAACAAAAGTCCAGGACTAGATGGTTTCACTGGTGAATTATACCAAACACTTATAGAAAAATTAATACAAATCCTTCTCAAAACATTTCCAAACTCATATAAGACCAGCATTATCCTGCTATTAAAACCAGATGAGGACATCACATGAAAAGAAAATTACAGGCCAATATCCCTGATAAGCATAGATGTAAGACCCCCCCACACACAATATTAGCAAATCGTATTAAACTGTAAATTAAATGGACCATACACTATTAATGAGTGGGAATTATTCCAGAGATGCAAGGATAGTTCAACATCTGCAAATCAATCAATATGATATACCACTGTAACAAAACGAAGGATAAAAATCTTATGTCATCTCAAGAGCATTCAACAAAATTCAACATCCATTTAGGATAAAAACTCTTAATAAGTGACTATAGCAGAAACCTACCTCAACTTAATAAAGACTATATATAACAAGCACACAGCAAACATTATACTCACTAGTGAAAAGCTGAAAACTTTTCCTGTGAGATCAGGATAAGGATGCCCATTATCACCATTTTTACTCAAGATAATTTTGGAAGTCCTACACAATTAGACCAGAAAAAGAAATAAAAAGCACTCAAAATGGAAAGGAAAAAGCAAAACTGTATTTAGAGTTTTCTATACATAATATGGCATCTACAAAGACTATCAAAAAAACAGAACTAATGAACAAATTCACTATAGTTGCAGGATACAAAATCAATGTATAAAAATGTTGCATTTCTATATACTAATAACTATCAGAAATTCAGGAAACAATCCCATTTACAATTTCCTCAAAAATAATAAAATTCCTAGGAGTAAGTTTAACCAAGGAGATAAACAACCTGTACTCTGAAGCCTATAAGATACTATAGTGCAAGCTCTGACAGCTTTTCCTTTTTGTGATTCAAGCACCTGACTTAAGGTCTGATCGCAGAGGCATCCACCTTAAAGATGGCTATCTTGAATATATTGCCTGCTATCCAACTAGATAAAGAGCCAGCCCACTCCCATAACTCTACTCCTGCTCCTTTGATTTAGAGAGAGAACTGAACATTGGGACTACTTGTTTTTCTCTTCCTGTGCTTTAAGTTCATGCTCTTATGTTTTAAATTCACAAAGAGTGAACACACAAAATCCTAATCCTGTGCTCTCACTCTCTCTCACCATTGCTGTGTGCTTTCCACAACCTATAAGCACTAAATCTGGTCCGTTTCAAAGTTTCTTGATGATATTGCTGAGGGCATCTTGCAATCATAATAAAAACCATAAGGGCTGGTCCAGCCTCATCATTGGTTACTGATAGGCTGAGACCTGCACACAACTGAGGTAGTCAGCAGGACTGCATGTGTACCCTTGCAGTTAACTGAATGCCATCTAGGTGCAACTTGCTTAAAACCACCTAACTCAGGTGGGTAACCCTCATCTGAGAAAGGAGCACTGCTTACTGGAGGTCTGCTGTACTGCTCTGTTCTTTCATATATTGCCTCTCTCATGTGTTGCCTGTGGTATGAACCCCAAATATCACAGCTGCTATAATAATTCAATGTTCTTCCCAGAGCAGCCTGATGGAGGCCACAGGGTCTAATGAGATGATTAGACCATTAATTATAAGGACCTATTAATGTGTACAAGGGTCTTCTATGCCTCAAGTCCAAGGAGAGGTAAGTAGAGTGGAGTGAACTGCAAAGCTACTGCCACTGCCCAAGGAGAGGCTCTGGGCAGAAGAAAAGGATTCCTGCCTGTAGTTGAGGAGGATGGGAAACCTCTGCCTGAAACAGTTGAGTCAGTGGGTTGTGCCTTGAGTGTAAGTCCTAACCCAGAGAGTGAAATAGCCTCGCAATAGGAAACCAATGGCCCTGTGAAAAGGCAAACACAACAGAGGCCTATGGTCTCTGTGCCACCAGTTCACATAGTACTGTTGCTCTTTGTCCTCTGACTTGATGAGCTATCATGGGTCAATCTCTAGTTCAGAATTGCTAAAAAAAAAAAAAAATAATAATAATAATAGGCAAATATACACTTCCTGAACATCTATTGCCAGCACCCCCTAAGGACTCTGAGGAGGTGCACTAGCTCCTTGATAAATGTAGAACCCCATGGAAGGTTCCCGGGCATCGCTCACTGCTGCAGCATACCAACATACCAAGGCTCTGGTATTACACTCCAGAGGCCCAGGGGCTTTTCCCAAACACCTTGTACATACTGGGCTAGTGGAGGCAGACCCAAATCCTGGAAAGGTCTATTGGGACATCCTGGAAAGCAAATGCCTATGAAGAGGGTGCACACTGACATCATCCAAAACTTTAAGGTAATGGGAGAAAATGAAGTGGAAACAGATCAGAAACTATTTTAACTGAAATTCAAACCTTTTTGAAAGATTTTATGCAGCAGGAAGGAGAGAGGGAAGCTAATTGGCAATTGCAGGGCTTTGTTCTGTTTTTAGAAGGGGCGATGAAATGTTACTCATGGTGGCTGAAATGGACTAAATGGTCAGCATCTCTAAAGACCTTAAAACCCATAATCTTCTTAATTAAGATCCATCTGAGCTATATGCTTGATTAGTCTGAGGTACCACAGATCCTGAGCCCCTCACCTTTCCCATGAACTGGGAAAAAACAAGAAATGTGCTTCATAAGGCATCCCTGCCACCAAGGAAAAGGTGACAGCGTTATCAAAGCCTCTAGTGAGGAGGAAAAGAGAAAAGGGAAGGCAAAGGCCCTTGGAGCCAGATATTTGTACAGGGAGCTTCCCCTCCGCACACAGATAATTTACTGCCTGGTACTGTGCCCATCCTTCCAACAGTGATCACTGCTAAGGATCACAGTGAAGGGAAAACATTAAGATGAGGCCTGTTTCCTGTTATACAAAATTGGCATCCAATTGGGCTTATATTTCCATGACTTTATTAACCCAAATGGCCCCCTCCCTCATTTCCAACCCTAAAGATGTCCCATTTGACCCTGAGTCCAGAGACTTCCTTTTACAAGACAGCCCGCCCCCAAGTATGAGTCTTCACTATTACATTAGGACTGCTGAAGTCATCCAAAAGACACTACACTACAACTTCTAGTAGAAAACTTACATTCTTTCTCTGCCCCTTGAAGAAGTTAAGTTTTACACGTCTTTGAAGTGTAAATACCCAAGGAGGTAAGTAAGATACTGCCCTCAATTACCTAAGACTGAAGGAAAAACAGTAGGGGAGAGCAGCTTTTAAAAATACAAACTGCTAGGGGCGCCTGAGTGGATCAGTCTTCAGCTCAGGTCTCATCTCGCCATTTGTGAGTTCAAGCCCTGCGTCAGGCTCTGTGCAGCCTGGAGCCCGCTTCTGATTCTGTGTCTTTGTCTCTGACACTCACGCTCTCTCTCTCTCTCAAAAAATAAATAAACATTAAAAAAAATACAAACTGGTAGTCATGATCTCACTGTTTGTGAGTTCGAGCCCCGCATCCAGCTCTGTGGTGACAGCTCAGAGCCTGGAGCCTGCTTCAGATTCTGTGTCTCCCTCTCTCTCTGCTCCTCCCTCACTTGCACTCTTTGTCTCTCTCTCTCTCAAAAGTAAATAAACATAAATTTAAATACAAACTGCTATAAAAGCTCCCTTGCCCAAATCTAGTCTATAGCCTCCATAAAGTTGCTTTTCAAGGACAAATACAAATCTTAATTTCCTCCACATATAATAGTAAAAAGGCTTAGCCACTGGAGCAGGTAACTTGAACTTATTCTGTCTGCCTGGAACACAATTTGGATTCAAGTGTTAATATTAACTAGTGGGGTTTATATTGTACCTGATTCGCAGCTAAAATTCTGGAATGGAAGCTATAGAGTTTCTATGTGTCTGACTATGTCTGTGGATGTATATGGCACATTTTTCTGGCCCTGGATGGTATTGCCAAAATTAATTTGTAAAATCTGATTTAAGTGACTCAGAAAAATAAGCACTTATCAAATTTAATATTTCTAAACTCTGTAGAATACAGAAACTAAACAAAATGCTTTACAAATTCATGTGATCGGAGATAATATCTGGTAAATGAAAGCTAGTTTAGCTATATTGGTTTAATTAAAATAGAGATGTATTCAGAGCTGTCAGCACTGAATATAATGTAGTCCTATATCTTTTATTCTACCTGAGTTAATTAGTCAAACTCACGCTGTAGGTTTTGCAAACTTTGTTGTGATGGCTAGCTGTTTTAATCTCTCGTGAAATTTTCCTAAGTGTTAATATGACTGTTAAAAAATAAATGAAACTGATATAATTGGGATGTTTATAAGCAAACTTAAAAAAATTTTTTTAAATGTTTATTTTTGAGAGAAAGAGAGAGACAG